TATAATGCTTAGTCAAATTTGACTGACAAATTCTAAATTTATTTATTTTCATAAGCATAGGAAATGCTACTTCCACTTATGTTTACGTGCATTTGAACTTTGAAACTTGTGACAGGAAAAAATAACTAATCCTGCTGCCTCCTGTGTCACCATCACAATGTGAGCTGCTGTTAGCTGTGAATGAACACATTGTAAAGCTTCCTGATTTTTAGTTATGTCGAGCAGTTCTATTTATACCTCCCCTTGCTGCTCCAGAAAGCTTAAACCCCCTGATTAAGTTACTTCACTGATGCAGCAATAAAGATCATCCATGGCCAGCCTTGGCTTCTTAGATAGGATGTGAATAGCAAGAGTACAGAGATACCAAAGTACTGTTTACTTTCCTAAACACTTAATTATGTTCTGTAACTGTATAGCTTTTCCTCACATTCTGTTGGTCTAAAGATCATTTCCATAATAGTTCGGAGTTTGTCATCATTTAGAAAACAAGAGCTGTGAAAGGCTGTTAATAGATTAGAACAGATAATAGATTGGAAAAATAAAAAGATACTCTTAACCCTATATTTTGTAATAGTTATAGCTGTATGTCCTGGCCGTGTGCGAGGATCCTATGCAGGGTTTGAAAAATCCACTCGTCTGCGACGAGAGGACGCTGGAGCCTGACGAGTAGCTTCCCGGCCGTAAGCATTGTGTTCAATAGAGATGCCTGACCGCTTGTATTAGCAGTCGCCACTGGCATTACCGGTCCCGAGATCCGCTGTGCCCGTTCGGCCGGGACCGGCACTGGCACAGCTGCTTTGTGACAGGAGATCAAAGGAAGATCAGTACACCACCTCCCTCTGATCTCCTCTGCGGTCCCCGAATATTTGATCACTTCCGCATTCAGCTGTCATTCCCAGCTACAGATGCTGGTGAGAAGCTGCTGAAGCATGTATCTGCTTCAGCAGCTTCTCTGGGGGTCCCTAGGTGACATTAGGGGTCTTGGAGAGACCCCTGATGTCTCCATAAAGAAGACCTGTCATGTAAACTAGCTATCACATAGGGGAATTATTAGCCCCCTTTGTGATGGCAATAATGTTAAATGTAAAAATAAAAAAAGAGTAAAACAAAATTGAAGCATAAAAAAACAAAAACTGTGGTAGTTTTTTGCAATTTTGGGGGCGCCCACAATTTTAAGGCTTGGCATGTTTGGTGTCTATTTACCGGCGTGGACTCGTCTTTTAGATTTTACCAAAAATATGGAAACAAATAAAATGTTTTTTTAACATAACATAGGGAAAACATTTTAATTTTTTTAAAATTTACGGTACTTTTTTCATTATATAGTAAAACATAAAAAACCCCAGTGGTGATTATATACCACCAAAAGAAAGCTCTGTCTGTTCCTAAAAAAAATTAACATAAATTTCAAGGCTGTTGTCCGTTTCGACTGACTGGTGTAGACACCCTAAAATGTTTCAATATATATAATTAGAATAGGGAAAAGGTTAGTTAACGTGGACACCTGTTCTTGTGGAAACTCTCAAAGACGGGAGATCTGTTAACTTTGAAGAGCTTTATCTCATTTGTTTCTTCTGTAAAGGGTGATCTCCCTAGCAGGATGCAAATGTCAAAGATGTTCTTGATAGAGATTTTAACCTTTCTATACTCTATCTAAAGAAACAAGTTTGGGGTTTACTGTACATACACTTTCATCACACAGAATATTTTAGTACCCACGTTTTGTTTTTTTGTTTTACAATTTCAATCAATATTTAAGGTTAATTATTTTAATTTAGAATTCATAACAACATATACTATAATTGTTTCTTATACATTTGATTATTTAAGTTGATGTTTTGAAAAACGTAGCAGTGTTTTAATATTGTATTGAAAGGAAATGCAGTACTGCATAGAAGCAAAATATTATCATGGAATAGATAAAACCTTTTACATCTCATTGAGATTTCTAATACACTGCTTGACATTACGCTGCTGAATACACAAGTACAAACTTTTTTGAATTCATATTTGATTATGTCCCTGATCTATGATGTTCTCCTGTTTCCAACTCATTTGCTGCTCATTTCAAAAAGCATTAGTGAAAAGGTTCAGTGAAGACTGTCTTTTAGTTAGCCCAAGTCTTCAGTGTTCACCTAACATAACATCAGTGATATTTGTGTGACTATGAATCATTGTTTAGAAAGGATTGTGTATTCGGTTCTTGTTAAAGGGGACTTTTACTCATATCTTTAAAATAACAACAAACACACCTTTAGAAATGTGTCTGACAATCTACAAACACATACTTCTAGATAATTGCAGGACTTTGAATCATTTGCATTCCTTGTTTCTCTTTTCTACTCCAGTCTTCTGACAGTGGTCATGTTTACTAAGGGCAGATTACTAGCTCTCCTTTTACTGCCTGGATTTCTGGCACATGTGACCAGGCACATCATCTCAGGAGAGGAACATGCCTTTCTCTGAGATCTCATGAGATTACAGAGGAGATTTCCCAGGAATGTTCTGCTGGTGACAAGGCAATCCCAGTGTGCATTGCTTTGGCAAACTGAAGTCATTTTGCAATTTCAAAGCAGGAAGTGAATGCTCTGCAAATCACAGTATTTTACACCTGACATGTCTTTGTTATTATTAATCATCATACATAGAGGCATGCATTGGTATAATTTGATTTTTGAGTGTAAAGGTCCGCTTTAAGCTTTACTTAAAGGCTAAGTTTACCTTGAAATAATAATACAATAATAAAAAGCAACAAACATTTTTCCACCTAGAAACATGAAGCTTAGTAGGCCAAACTCTGCTTCTGGCTTCCACGTCTGGCCAAACAATCTGCCATCTTGACAGATATATCCTATCCTGGCATGAAAAGCCAGGACAGAGCTGAGCTATCACATATTACAAGCCCCCCATGTGATAGCATATTGGTGGTGACTATGCATACTATGTATGTCACTGGTCGCAAAGGAGTTAAAGGAGAACTATGAGGTAAGTGATTTACACATCCTCATAGTTCATGCCGATGTGTGACATTGAAACTGTCACATGTCTGCTATTGATCAGGAAGTGAGCGAACACATACCATCGCTTGCTCACTTTCCGATCATCTCCCTGCAGAGAGTGGTGACTGTCAGTCACCGCTCCCCGCAGGGGTTCTCACTCCCCTCTCAGATCCTCCAGTGCTCCAGACAGGGGAAGGGGCGGGCACAGCTGGCTCTGCCTCTAGAAAGGCAGAGCCTGCTGTAAATCAGCCAGCTGGGTGGATCTCGACAACATTGTCGGGATCCGTCCCCGCTGCGACACTCTCAGTATATAGCGAGCAATAGCTGATTATGTGAATGAACCCTTAGCTCTCGTACACACCTCTGCAATGCAACATGACAGAGGTACTGCAGGGTGCACTTGTGGTGTGCTGTGATACGCAGCCCATTTATTTGAATGTGCTGCTTACTGCAGCTATATTGCACTGAACTGTGTGTACTTTTTAAAAAAATCAATGCACCATATCACATGATAATATGTTACCATTAGATATGGTGCAATACAAGAAATAATGGCATTACAGAGCACCTAACATTGCAACATGCAATGCAGCCACTCGCATCACATAGATATGAACCTTAGTCCTCTAACAAATTGGAACTAAAACAATATAGAAAGCTTTGCTAATGTACACAAAAGTATGGCTGCATAAAATATATAAAGACTTTGTTTTGCTTTACATTTAACAGTGACATCATATTAAATACATAATTATATACATTTTTACTACTTGGGGACCACCTAAACATCAACGATAATACGATTTTACTACTTGGGGACCACCTAAACATCAACGATAATAAACAAGTATTATCTTGTGGGGGTTTTTTGTTTTTACATTTGTTGCAAATTGTCTGTAAGTCAGTGCTATTAGATAAAGAGACATGTCTTTATGGTTTGTGAAGGGAGAAAAACACATATTTTTGGTCCTTCTCTTATTTTCTAGCGAGTCATGTACTGCAGATTCTGCTGACATAATATGATGTTCCTTCAAGGGCAAAGTGTTGCCCATGTTGAACCTGTCAACCTATAAGGTAGTTTCTATTAGCATATATATTGCTATGATCATCATTATTAATATTAATGAATTCAGGTATGAGTGTGCGTACCCATCATCTTAATTGCAGGTTTATGGTCTTCTGTGGTCATAGAGCTTGTCAATAAATAGTGGAACAAAATAATATGTTGATGTGAATTCCAGTGCCTGAAAATGGTATCATATTATGTATGCATGTGTCTGAAATGAGTCTTGGAACTGTCTGCTGTTTTAAGGCACTTAGCAATGAAATAATAGCAGTTTCCATAATACACCTACAATTTGTCAATCACTTATAAAAGAGTTCTCCTGTTTTCTTGATATTGTCTTAAAACAAATGACACAAATTAATGCAGCATTGTAATCAATAATACTCACATTACTATTTAACATTGCCATGCTGGAGCTGAAGGTGCTTAAATGCTTCAACATAGCTAGTAGAAAGCTCTGAAAATGTTCTGTAAAAGCTTGTTGTTGACACTGCTCTTATACAAGCTGGAGTCTGTGTGAACAAGACCTTACGATTTCCTAAAGCAGCTTTACAGCTTTTTAGCTCTGCTCAGTGGATAGAGGTAATGATTTTGATTCACTGTCCAATGAGGAGGCTGGAGTTGGTGATGGAGTGGTGACATAGAAAGCTGCATTGCTGAACCAGTAGAACAATTAACCCCTCTGACTGTACGATGCAGAAAATGTGTCTAAAGCATAATGTTGTTAATAAAAGTAATGCAACTTTAAAACAGTGTAACTATTATTTAAGGGCATTTGATGTTTTTGCAAAAGGAATGTTTAGAACTTTAAAAAGTACTGTTTTTTATGTATATTTAGATGCACTAGTCCTGTTTTGTGCTTAAATACATTTATATGGTTTCATTATTTAGTGCATACTATATGAATTAATGTTGCCTTTAATCTTTTATTGCAGATGAAAAGCCTGACTGCTCAATAGCCCGGTGTGAAGTACAGTTTTCTCCAAGATGTGCGGAGGACTCTGTCCTCATCGAAGGCTATGCACCTCCTGGCGAATGCTGCCCCCTGCCCAGCCGATGTGTATGTAGTCCAGCTGGATGCTTGAGAAAAGTCTGCCAGCCTGGCTATCTCAATATACTTGTGTCCAAAGCCTCAGGCAAGCCAGGGGAATGTTGTGACTTGTATGAATGCAAACCAGGTAATACAACTTGTGTTTTATTTCCCAGCTTATCCTTACAATGAATTGCTCAGTATTTTCATCCATGCATTGGATGCACTTCCATCCCTGCACGTTAATGCTCAAGTCCACCCCTGTCTCTTTTGTCAGTAATCTGAGATCTGCTTATGGTAGAAGAGAGGGAATACCCAAAACACCCGCTCCATGCTCATTGTAGTCATTGATATACTGAAAGCTTGATGTTACAATTGTCAGTCATAAAAAGTTTCTCTGTGCCACCGTTTAGATTTAAAATTGTCTTGAAAGTTGCAATAGCACAGGTGACTCATAAAGCAGAGATAGAAGAATTTGCTAAGCAAAGACGTTAGGGAGTACATTTTGCTAGGGACCATGTCAGGTCTAGATCCTGGCTCCAGTTAACTGCATTTAATTACATTTAAGGTAAACTAAGTAGACTTTGAGTTTAGACAGTACATACTGTACAACACTAGTAGCTCACAGTTTGCTTTCACTTTCTGCTTGAAATTGCTTTTTATGCCTGAAGCTTCTTGAAGTGTTGTTTGCATTTGCATCACCATAACACCTACTACATTTACAGCATATACTGAAGTACTTGTGACTGTTTTGAAGGATAAGTGCACTTTATGACAAATTGAACTTGTCCTGTTTGTCTCTTTGCACTGACCTAAAGTATCCACCCTTCACAGATGCATACTTGCCTGGATCCAGCGGTGGTGGCCTCCGGTGTTTGTTTACATCCTGGATGAGCTAAGATTCCATACCAATAGAATTCTATGGGGCTGTCTACCACTGTATTCCTTTGTCTCTGCCTTTGGAACACAGCCCCGTAGCACAGCAAGATTTACAGCACTGGGTTTAATACTTAGCGCTGTGCACTGTAGTTCACAACTGGAACTTTAGTTCACAACTGGATGTAAACAACCCCCGGAGGCCATGTCCATAGGAAAGAAGTAAGTATGCAACTGTGGACAGGGAGGGTGGGTTACTTTAGGTCAGCGCAAAGGGGCAAACAGGTAAAGAGCACTTTGTCTTAAAGTGCATTTAACTTTCAAAAAGAGCTGTTATCCATTTCCATTTGAACATTTTTCTAACCGCCTTGAAGGTGTAACCTTTGCTAATGAAAAAGTGTCAACATTTTCTACACAGTTAACTGCACACTTTTTACATCATTCACATTAGAATCTTTTAACCATGACTGCTGTTTGTTGTTCTAGTTTTTTTTTCAGTCCCATTTAAGAGGATTATTATATATTCAGTTATTTGTAGGAGAAGTTGCACATGAGTAAATAGCACATATTTCCTTATTTTAATTTTACTTTGACTTTATCGTTTAACCACTGACTGGGGTGTTAAATCTCCTTCCTGTCCAGGCTATTTTTTAGTATTCAGCGTTGCAGCACTTTGACATTTATTCAGTCCTGCAACGCTGTACTGAAATTAATTGTATACCATTTTTTGGGGATAGATAGAGCTTTCTTTTGGTGGTATATAATTATCACTTTTTTTTTTTTTTTACTATACAATGAAAAAAGTACAGAACATTTTGAAAAAAATCCCTACATTATGTTAAAAAATAAACTTTTTATTATTACCCAGATTTTTGCCAAAATATAAAAGATGGGGTCATGCCAGGTAAATAGACAACAAACATTTCCAATTTTAACATTTAGTGGGCCCACAAAAATCACAAAAAACTACCATACCTAAAATTGGCCATAGATGACACTTTAAAAGCTTTAAAGGAGAACTATGAGGTGAGTGAAAATCAGTCATCCTCATAGTTTGAGCTCACACGTCGGCTCAATAGATTGAGAAGTGAGCAAACACATGACGTTGCTCGCTCACTTCTCGATCATCTCCCTGCAAAGAGTGGTGACTGTCGGTCACCGCCCCCTGCTCCGATCCTCCAGCACTGACTGGAGGAACAGACAGGGAAGGGGGCGGGTACAGCTGGCTCTGCCTCTAGATAGGCAGAGCCCGCTGTCAATCAGCCAGCTGGGTACATCTCAACAGCATTGTTGTGATCCGTCTCAGTATACCGCGAGCTGTAGCTCACGATATACTGAGCTTTGGGTCGGGGGGGGGGCATTACAGTATATGCCCTCCCGTGACCCTCAAGAAAACTATGGAGAAAAATACTTACCCCATAGTTCTCTTTCAATGGCCCTATAATTATTGCCCTCACTCTGACATTCGCGGTGATATGTAATGTGTGGCATAATCGTTGTTTTTGCACTTTGACGCACCCAATGCATATTTACCTTTTATAAGTGCTTCACCAGCTTATTTTCTGGCTATAGCAGCCAGATAAAATAACAGCTAAAGGTTGAAGTGATGTAATGCACATCACATCCACCTCCAAGCATCGGAGGAGAGATCAGAAAGTGGGGGAATGCTGATCTCGCCTCCATTTACAGTGTCAGCAGCTGTTGTGACCGTTCCAGGCTTGTAGGGGGGACAGCGGTGTGTTATCATACAAGCCATCGGATGGCTGTCTAGTCACCCGAACGCTTGTATGGAACAGCCGGTAGCTGTTTACATTTACAGCGGGACTAAAAAAAAGACGTAAAGTTATGTCCACCTTCTGATAGTAGGTTGCCATCCATCTGTCCGTGTTTTTTTTTACAACGGGCGGACGATAGGCTTTTAAAGTATCAAAGCCCTATTGGTCAGATCTTAGCTGACTAATCAACATATTTTCTGTAACGTTTTCTGAATTATTAGCATTGTTTTGCTAAATATTGGTCATCCGGCAGGGGTGATAAGCACATTCTATATGATAGACTGATGTGAATGTGCACTTTGTAAAGTGCTACGTACTATTGTCGACGCTCCTCCTCAAACAAGGGGCAATTTGCAAGTCAGTGTCTAACATGCATTGCAACAAATATGGAACGTAAAACAAAGAAGCAATATTCTCATTTATTCTCAATATATATATAAAACGGAAAATACACTAACCTTCTCTTTAAAGTGATATACAAGTCAAAACCTTTTTAAGCTTTTTTTCAGATGCTGATTTAATCACTTAAAATGGCATCTGCTTGATGTTTAAAAGTTGTAGTTTCCTGAAGAATCAACTGGTCCCCTGAGCACTGGCCCTCATATCCTTTTTTAGGGTGGCTCCTTTCCTGGTCCTGTGGAGCCACCCTTGTGTGTGCTAGTAAGCTGTGTGTGTGTCCAAAAACAGGCACAGCCATACTCCACGCTTTCTGCTCCTCCCTTTCCCAGGTAGTAGATGCAAAGCTGCTGGAGACTGTGCTGTCCCTTCTGTCCCTGTGATCTTGTACTGAACAGGAGGTTCAGGGAAACAGAACTAGGAGAGTTGGAGCCAGCTGTTAAGAGAAATGATGGATAAGTGGGTAAGGGTAAAATATAGAAATATGTTGCAAGGCGATATATATTTGTTTGATCTGGATTTATTATTGGAAAACAAGTTTGAGTGTTTAAAACTACCTAAACATATTACTATGTTTTAAATTTTTTTTTTCTATTGTTAAGTGTAAAGGTGAATTCATTGTGCTTATTGTAGAAGGCAAAGCTTGAAAACACAATTTAATGTTTATTAAGTTTCAAGGTGGAGAATTAAAGTGTGTTTAGAGGAAAAGGGATTGTGCTAGAAATGACACCTTAGACCCCAGTATGTAGTTTCATAAATAGCTGGTAATATTTTCTTCTTCTGCTCTCATAAACAATAGAATGGTTTAAGAAAAAAAAAGAAAATATTCCTTTAGCTATCATTGCTACTTTGGCACAGGCATCTAGTAGATCCAACTGTAGCTCTTTAAAACAGTAAACACTGGAAAAAATGTCAGCAAGTATGGTCTTTTGTTAGAACCCATTCACACTGAGCTGCATCCAAAAAAAAGCTCTTTTTTTCAGAGCGATTTTGAGCTGAGCTACATTAAGCTACAGTGCACATTCTGTTTTTTTCCCTGACTTTTCGCAGGGACTTCGTAGCTGCTACATTGGGCTGTAATCAATCAAAAGCGGTCTTGATGTGACATCATTCCTTCCTTATATTTCTGTGCAAAAGTGACACTTCTGTAGCGCGACATAGTGCGACAATGAGCTACACCATTAACGTCTATTGGGCCAAATCGTACAAAATCCGCCGAAAAATAGGTCATGTTCGAGCTACAAGCTTGAGCGACGAGCTACAGGCCACATTGAGCTGTGAGATGTGAACAGTTCCATTGAAATGTATTGGACAAGCTACATTGAGCTGATATTTGAGCGATTTTGGAGCTGAAATCGCACGATAAATCGCTCAGTGTGAACGGGGTCTTAGTGGGAACTTTATAAGTTTTCTTTGCCAAAAACTCTTCGACTTACCTGCTAGAAATGTTAAAATCTTTGCACTGACTGCAGAGCATGCACAGTACAGTGCACAGTCCCCACATCTTACAGGTATAACCCCAATGCACATGAATGGGTTTTACATAATCAGTGCCTGGGCATTGCATTGTGTTTGTGTGAACTAAATTAAATGTGTATGAGTGTATTTTTTTCTTAAAATATAGATTTGATTAACAGTAGCAGTTTATTCTACAGGGTCTCTGCTTCTAGAAAATACATAGAGGGTAATTTATCAAAAATGGAGCCGAGAAAATCTGGAGCAGTTGTGCATGGCAACCAACCAGCATCCACCTTTCATTTTCAAAGCTGAAGAGAAAAGCAGATTGGTCACCATAGGCAACTGCTCCAGATTTTGTCTGCTCCATTTTTGATAAATCCCCCCATAATGTTTTGGAGTTAAACCCTTTTGCTGCCACTTAACGTAAGACATACGTCAATGGCAGTGGGCCCGTTTAACCCCTTCATGATAGACCTTTTTTTTGTTTACATGATATAATCCACATTTAAGTCCTGAAAGTACTTAAAACCCCCAAACATTATGTATTTTCTGAAAGCCAAGACCCTATAGAATAAAATGCTGCCAGTTGCAAATTTGTATGTTGCACAACATTAGCACAACTCCTTATCAAACCCCAACATTT